GGTGGACCCACTGGAACCCTCCCCTAGATCTGCCACTGTTACAAGTATGTGTCACAATTTAGGTAGCTGATTAGAAGTGTGTCCTCCATACCAATTGCTTCAATGAAATTTGAAAAGTAGCATACAGTTACCTTAATTTGTAAGGACTCGGGATCTGAACCATTTTGCAGCACTAACACATTTCCAGACAAATTAAAGAACTGCCACTCTCCTGTGGTACTGTTACGATAGGATATAGATGGCTCCAACTGGTAATAGGGGTACGCTCCCTTACTAAAGATATATGAGTTTGTTCTTTCAGTGTCAATGACTTCTATAAAGTTTCTATCCCACCTCCGACAGCTCTCAGTCTCTACAACAGGGAGTAAGTGAATCAATGTCATGGATTTCAACTAAATAAATGGGTGTGGATCAGAGCAATCTGACTTACCATGGCGTGAAGTGACTGTGATTCAACCATTTGACAAGCCCGACATACCCCCAGGAATGTAAGTCATTTAGCCCCCTGGGTCAATTAGCCCCTAGCCGGTAGTCCACACCCAGAAATTGATTAGCCTCCATTCACACAAGTGCGAGGCGCAGTGGCCTCATGGTTAGTGCTCTTGACTCCAAACCGAGTGGTCTGGGTTAGAGCCCTGGCTGGGGACACTGTGTTGCATTCTTGAGCAAGACACTTTACTCTCACAGTACCTCTCTCCACCCAGGTGTATAAATGGGTATCGGCAAATTTAATGCTGGGGGTTGACCCTGCGATGGACCAGTGCTTCATGCTACTGAAACCAGGATAAGCTCTGGCCTGATGAGCCACTTGGCTCATATGCAGACTTTACCTTTCCTTACCATTCACACATAAAGAATGAGAAATAGCCAGTGTTTTTAACTGCTGGTTGGGAACTAATCAACTTCTGGTTGGGAACTAAACAGTTAGGGGCCAATCGACTTGGGGGCTAAACAAATGGATACCCCCACTGGAGTGTATCTAAAAAGTAATTGCAATTACAGGCGGTGACTTGATATTTATACCTTTCTGGTACTCTATGGCAAGTTTGATCGAACCATGGTTCGTATCTTGGCAAAACGTAGTTGAGCTAGAATACCCATGTGGGACCAAACAAGCTTGATATGCCATCGAAGTGAACCAAAAAGGTACAATTAGATATTTACTGTACCAAAATTCTACCAAGTGAGCGTGATACCATTGCCATATCAGGGCAGTGACTTGTTGGTATCACAGGATATCAGGACAGTAGACAAGGCTTCTGATTGGCTAATTGGGAATATGGGTACAGTAATGCAGGGAGTCGGAAGGGTAAAGAAGATTCTCACCTGTACACTGCAAGTTGTTGTGAGCTGTTGCTGAGACGTTTCTTGCAATAAACAGTCAAAAATACACATAACTTAACACGTTAACATTTTACATGATTCCTGACCTTCATAATTGATGACTCAGCTAATTTTATTCGACAGCTTAAAAATAAGTTAAGCTTAGGGATAAGCTTAAGTTAAACATAAACTGTTCTTAACGCATCATACGCAAGAATATGTAACTAGGTAAGTTTACATGTTATAACATAAAAACATGCACTTACTCATTATAACGTACTCATCTACGCAATAACCTTGATTTCGCAGAAACAACGAATTTAAACCCGCAGAGAACGACTTCGGTTCACATAAACAAATACCTTGTACTGGTTCAGCGCCATATTCGTGGCAATTTTGGCACACGTCTGTAAAGTAATCTCTTTGCGCTCGAGTTATCTTGGTAACAGCATAATTTTCGCCTTTCTTGATGAAATAACACATAATAAAGACAACTGCAAGTAAAAAAAGATTACCAGACATGTTTGTGGATATTTTGACGGTGGAAATTCTTAGTTGAGAAGCCTTTCCAAAACTGTTTTCTTCTGCATTTTTCGGCAAATCGCGGAAAGAAATTTGATGCGGAAATCATGTGATTTTGCAGAGTAAATATTTACCATTCTTAGCTTGGTTGCAGTCTTTTTGCGAGGTTGAAATAGCCATGGCAGAAAAAAGAAACTTCAGGACTTAGTTAAAGCCTTCTAAAAAGTGGAATCAGTGTGTTCGTTTCTTTTCACTTCCGATGAGAAGCAAACAAAAAGCTTGCAAAGATGCGTCAGGCTTGAATGATGGGCGATGAGTTCAGGCCCTGGCTCAGGCCAAACGCGACCAAGATGCGTTTAAACCGCATGACAATCTCCGAAAGACGCAGAAGTGTTCGGAGAAAGAGAGGAAGTTTGTTTATAAATAGGATAAAATGAAGTCAGTGATAAAGATAGTAATCCCGTGATTTTCATTACCGCGAAAGGCCATCAAAGGGCATTCCGTCTGTCTTTTCTGTCATTTTAAAACTTGACCGCTTTGCGAGATCAAAATATTTTGCCAGCAAATGTGACACAGGGAGGGAATTAATGGCGTACTGAGAAGCTTTCCTTTCTTTTTGATAATCATTCTTTATTATGAAAGTCCCTTTTAAATTTTCTGAGCAAGGATCACGACAGAGCTTGGAGAGCCATGAACACAAGAGAGGGCTGGGACGAGAGAACGAAGGCGGGGAGGGGGGATTGCAGGGGGAAGGGAGGGGGCGTCACTCATCATTCAGCCGTGAGGGACTTCAAGATTTAGGCCGGGACGGCTTCTAGAACGCGCTGACCGATCAAAGACTAGAACTAGAACGCCGTTGTTAGCAAAGAGGAAAAATAATGTTAAGTCAGTTGCGACAAGATGCACAGAGCGCCATCGCTGCGGTATTAAAAGAATTGTAAAACCCAAAAATTAGGGCGATTTTCCGGGTGGAAAAGAGGGATTTTTCTGAACTTGAAGATCCTTTGATTTGAAATGTTTGTGTAGTCTAAGTGGTCACAAACTTTTAGACTACAAAAACATTTCAAGTCACAGGGTCTTCAAGTTAAGAAATGATATGCCTCTGTTTGCATTCATTAACGCTTATTATTCTTTGCTCGATGTTTCAT